TACCCAGTTGCAGTCTAATAGTGCACAGTAGATCTGTTGACCTAATTCCATTTTTGATATTTTACTATTTCTAACAGTTGTAGACTGATTTTATATTTAATTTGTTGGTCCTCTCTGTGCAGGAGTATTTCAAAATGCGTCCCTGAGTCAGAAAGGGTTGAAAAGTTCTGCTACAATATATGAAAAAAAATGTATGATTGGGCTTTTCTACTGAAAACTTCTTGTTTCAGTTCTCATTTTTAGTGGAACCTAATAACCCTAAACAGTGATAAATACTGCTTATTTTCGTAGTTTCTGATTGGTCATTTTGAAATGAACACATTAGTGGGCAAAATCACTGCTCTTCGAGTATTTTCATACAGGAATGACCTGCAATGGTTAAGTGAAAGTATGTTATTCTACTATCGGATTCCCTCAGTCTTCTCTGTTCAAGACTAAAAAGGTTAACTTAGGTTAACTTAGTCAGTCAGTTTAGGAGATTCCAGTGAGCCCAGGAATGTGGGCTGTCTAGTCACTGACTGTTTCCAGATCAGCAATATCGTTTTTTGTACTGTGGAAACCAAAATCATACACAATACTCTTAGGATATTTTAGTCTGCTTTCCTAAAGTTGTAAACCTTTGCTTTGTATTCTACATTTAATGATTCTAAGGATACTGCCATGTATACAACATGATTATAGCTCCCTAGTGGTCCCTCGATCTGTTTACCTCACTCTGTCTTGATTTTTCAATAACACCACATCAATACAGGCATTCTCAATCATAAGTATTGTGACAAACAGAGGAAGGAAGCAATCTCCTATTCCTACCATTTCATTTTAAGTCACTGCTATTCCTGACAGTATATCTCAGTTTATTTTAGGAAAATTAAAATCCCCCATAGGTTAACATTAAAGAAAAAAACTCTGATATTGTAAATTATGAAATCAATGCTTCCATAAGAAACACTTTTTGATGTTACATACGCATTCTGTGATCATCAATTGGAAAACCTGCATCATGTGTTCATTTAAACATGCAGCATAATAAATCTGGCAACGCGTTATGACATACAACATGGGCAAACTTAAGAATATGGAGAAATAACAAAGCACTAGTGATTAAACTGCATACCTTTAGTCTCACAGAAGCTACTTTTGCTCTTAACTGACTGAGGTGGAATGTGACCACAAATGAACTAAACAAGAGATTCTGACTTTTAAAATACAAGCTGACTCCTTTGTTTACCCTCATTATACTTTCTGAAGTGTGGAAGGCTCAGCCCTCTTGCTGCTGTGAATTCTGGCACTGCTGGTCAGACCAACCACAGCAATACTGTGACGTCAACAGCACAGAAAAGCAGCAGCTGTCATATCAGCATGAACCATTATGTCATTATGTCTATAAGCAAGGAGAGTGTTTGACACACCCACCCTCATACAGTACTGTCGAAGCCTTTCAACAACAACAACAAAAAAAAAACAATCCAATAATAAACTTGCATCTGGAACAATACTAAACACTAGTTCCACTTCTTTTTCTAAAAAAGCAAAAGATTTCTGGAACTTAAGTGATACTGATAATCAAGAATGTCCAGATAAAAGGTTAGTCTGAACTGATGTAGACTGTCAGCACTGCAGTCATACTCAGCAATAGTAAGGACGAGCACAGTTAAGGGATTAAGAGCAACACTTTAGACTTTAATACTTCTATCTGTAATTGCAGGCTCCAAAAACTACATATGGGATTCAACACATAATAAATAGCATTATAGTCTGGGTTGAAACATGTCAGTCACAATATTTTATAGGGAACAAGTAATAGGTTTATTCCATGCGGAAAAGAGAAGAAAGAAAACAATGTTTCGGCTGTGGAGCCTTCCTCGGGTGTCCACCTGAACTACAATATTTTATTCCTTAATTTCTTTCATGGTAAAATTCAATTCAGACTTTAAATTCTATAAAAAATATATTTTTACTCAGATGAAGTAATGGGCTTGGCTAAGATTACATCACCTTAAGAAGATATGAAGGTAACGATGCCGTAACACCTTTGAGTACATGTTGCTTTTTTTAACCTGCCTTTCTTGTGGCTACGGACTGTAGTACAGCTAGCAGAACCTACTTGGCCACAAGACCAGTCTGGGTACAGACAGAGTGTACTGAGTCACCATCAACAGGTAAATAATGCAGTTTCAGAGATGTGGTTGACTTAAAATTATTCTTGGTCACGGTATACTTAGCTGCTTACATTCTGGCTGTCTTTGGAGACTAAGGTGCTGTTATTAGAAACCAATAGTTAGCACCCTCACTGATCTGTCTGCATAGATGGCCTCATTTTTGACCTTTCAGAAAACTACTATGTTCAGTGAGTTTGAGGAATGCCGGGACTGTATAATGTAGCTTTGAACTCCATAACCTCCAGGTGCTGCTATCAATATCTAGGTGTCTAAAATATCATGCAGAGGAACAGTGCTCCTGGAAAGGCTCTGGACAGACTAAGTGGCAGTAAGCATTTCTGTCTGCTTGTGAATTTTTTTTGTTTCTCTAGGGATCAGCTAAAATGTTTTGCTTAGTAGTATCTGTGCTTGTGACTGGAAGGTTGCCAGTTCAAATCCCGCAGCCGGCAGAGGAATCCTACTCTGTTGGGCCCCTGAGCAAGGCCCTTAACCCCAACTGCTCCAGGGGCGCCGTACAATGGCAGACTCTGTGCTCTGACCCCAAGCTTCTCTTCCTGTCTGTGTCCTGTGTCTCATGGAGAAAAGCTGGGGTATGCGAAAAGATTAAGTCCTAATGCAATATATTGTACAGGGCTAATAAAGAAACATTATTATTATTATTATTATTATTATTATTATTATTATTATTATTATTATTATACACTGCCCAGTAGCGTGACATGTCTTTAACCAGAGCTTATTTTCTTCCTGGGCTGCGGCAGTCATTTACAGAAAAATCTGATATGAAAAAATACTGCTTCTGATAAAGACGAAGTGCCCTGCAAAAGCATATTCTCCCTTACAGTTATGTCTCATTTTGTTGAATTACAAATGATGCATACACATTTTTTAAAGTGAGTATTTTCAATCAAAACTTGAGTGCTTAAACTAGATACTTTTATCGGTCCAAAATGTTAAATGACAGAAAACCTGCAAAGAAGAATCAAAAACCTAGCGTAGACGTATTTGGTGGAACCACCCTTAGCACTGTTTCCATCTCTTAGTAGGGAGGAACCACTTTGCAAGGCACTGTACAGTATGTGATGATCTTCATTATTTCTACTTAAAAGATTTTTAAGAAGGTGAAATCCCCAGTCGCTCTACAGTTCATTAAAATATATTCTCAACTGAAATTGTAACTTCATATAACTCCATTTTAAGGTTTTATTTTTAGGAAATTCAGTTGATGAAGTATGCCAAACATGGGTACTGACTATTTCTTCTCTTTAACTTTTCCGTACAAAACAACCTTACTGTCAACAGTGAAGTTATTGCCTCTCCTACTACAGCATATTATTGATGGCTTATTAAACCCCCCAAAACAATTCAGTATCACGTTTATGCATCTCTAAAAGCACAAATAATAAAACATTTTTACATTATGTACCTTACAAATTATACCTTCTTGAACTTTAGTTTCATTCTAACTGTGCATATATATATTCCTTCATACAGTACACACCACAAAACGTTGACTGACTTCTGTAATGTATATAATGTAGCCAGTTTACTCAAAGATCAGGCCTTACAAACCATTCACATTCTAGCCTGGGTACTATCCATTCTTTTAAGTATAAAATGAGACACACCAGTTAAACCAATGGTAGAAGAGCTTGCTTTTATAAGACCATTTGGTGATGGATTAGAAAACCACTAGCACAGCACACAGTACAGTTAAAAGACAAGTGTTACATGACAGAAAATTGAATTGCCACTCACTACAAAAGGGAATTAACAAGTGTGAAGAAGATCCTGCATTTTACATTTAACATAAATGTTACTTTTTTCCCAGACACAAGAAAATGCTTGATAGGGCACAAATTATTTAAAATCTTTAACTCAATATTTTGTGAGTTTTAAGAATTACAATGATGATACCTTAAATAAGATTTATGAAGAAATTGATTTCTACTTGTTTGCTCTAAAGCTTCTTTGTCATCTACAAAAGAGTTGTCTTGTGCCTTCTGTTGCACACTAGCAGAACTGGATGATTTCTTCTCAGAAACCACCAGCCTGTAAACCTTACCATATAACTGAAGTACAGCACAGTACAATTACAACTCATGTTTACTGAGTTTTACTCCACAGGACTGAGGTAACCCCTAAAATCAAAATCCAACAAAACACATCAAGGAAGTGGATATTGTATGTCTATTTCACAATTTCAAATGTGGTCCTTCACGTGACCTTATAAAGTAAAAAGCCAATGTGTTATACAAATCAGAAAACAAAAACAAACATACTAAAAAATGTTATGAGGTTTTGCCAAACGCCAGGTAAAAATGTTATTAACTCTATTCTTATTGTCTTAGCCAACAGTAAGTACTTGAGATAAAGAGAAAGCAAAGACTAGTTTGGTTTAAAATAAAAGTATTTGAGGTTAAAATACATCTGATATACATCTTGCATAATTCTAACATCAGTAACTAAAGCTTCTGGTGACACCTCAAAGAAACGCTAAAGATACCAAAACACACAATGAACATAAGTTAATTCCTCTGAACAGCTAGGTATAAATTCCATGTTCAGTAAGACAAATTTGTGCTAAATCTTTAGCTAATGGTTTAAATTATCTTATCTTCTGTCCGTGTTTTCAGAGCAATGTTTTTAGGCAAACACAACTGACATACAAGTACAGAAACGAACTTTAAAATAAAGCATACTTCTTGGGTTTCACGGCACTGCGAATGTGACTTAACTTGCAAAGCTACGCCATGTTCCCTAATCAATAAATCACCGTACAGGTCTCGTCTGGCGTCTGGCGTCGGGCACTTTTAACATGCTCTGTGTCCGAGTGCTTACCTCCAGTTTGTGGTTTAACTGGAAGATGGTCTGAGCCTTGTGGCACAGCTGAGCGAAGCAGGAACTCAGAGTGGTCATTTTCTGACGGCCCTCATAGGTGATGTCAGCCTGATCGGGGTCGATCTCTCCGAGGAGCAGATCCACATCCACAAAAGCCTTGTCAAACTCCTTCTCCAGGACCTCCAACCATCGGAACATTGACATTCCCGAACCGGGACCACTGAGAGCCGAGCCCTGAGGGGCTGGTGAGACACCGCCGGCCGTCGCAGACATCACAGATACTGCAAGCGACGAATTACTACTTGTCAATTCTAGGCAGCACCTTTTCGATAATAAATTAATCACTTTTCTAGTTTATTTTTGTATCTATTTATTACAAATAAAATATTACTATCCTACACCACGCTCTGTCGTCTTAGCCAACCCTGTTTTCTACCGTACCGTCCGGCTTCTGCGGACCAGGAAATCCGAAGTGCGGATTGGTTGCGAGTCTGTGATTGACTATCATTGCCTGCCACACAGCTGGACCTGCGTCAAGAAAAAGCAAGAGAGTAAAGAGATAATCGATTTAGAGCGTCAAAACAGGATACGCAGACCTGAGGGAGTTCTACTTACAGATCTAACAACCGTGATTTACCCAGCCTCAAAACATATTGCCTCCATTTAATTTTACCTGGAGCTGTGCTGTGTTTGAAAAAAGCATTCTGAAAATCACGTTTTGGGAATCTGTCTAAACTCATTTCTTCACGTGTGATCAGCTGTTTTATCATGGAATTATACCCAAAATGTTTACTTCATGCCATATAAACAAAACCATTACACAATAAAATAATTATTTCTCCGATGGCTAATATTCTTCTTAAAAACGAAAAAGAAAATGATACTAATTAAATAATCTCACTCCCGATCTTACAGAAGTGGTCAAAACGTATATCTGCAAAAGTGTGATTAAAAGTTATGCGAGAATGCCTTGACATATCGGTGATTTTTTATTTTTTATATTTGATTCATTTATTATTTTTTATTAATTGAATTAATTTGATTATTTTTTATATCAACTGACTACTATTCAATAGCTTTTAGTAGGTAAGCAATTATAAGCACATTTTATGGCCATCTGCTGGCTGTTTGAAGAACCGGTAACTCAAGCAAGCTCATTAAGACCTGCATACCGACGGGAAAATATGCAGTGCAATACTAAATTATCAAAAAGCCGCTTACAGAAATCCTTTAAAAAGATCAGGGCAACCCGGAGACTATCCCGGACGTAGAGTGCATGGCAGCGCTACATCCTCTACGAAGTGTCCATCCGTCAGAGCACACACACGGGGACAATTTCCTGACACCAGGAGACCTAGTAAGCTTGTTCCTGAAGGCGTGAGGAAACTGGAGCACCTGGAAAGAGGCATACAGAAAGGCACCGCAGCCCGGAATCAAACTCAGGACACGCAAGTCGTGAGCCTGACCGCCACGCCGTGTGCCATGTGTAATGTATAATGAGAACTAATCTCACTAAGATAAAGATTAATCCATTGTTTTAAATAAAAGTGTCACCCTATAAACCGAGTGATCCTGAAATACGAATCCCACCCCTCACATCGTTTACCAAGTATTTCTTCAGCATAAAAAAGGTGTCGTGCTGAATAGGTTTGTTATTTTGTGAAATTTTAAAACCACTGCATGCATCTAACCCTCTGGCCACGTAAAATATTTATAAAGCACCCCAGGAGTAAAAAAAAAATGCTGGTTAAATTGTATTGCACTCACATATTCCACATACACAAAAACATTTTAAAGTAGAAGACAAAAAAACATTGACAAAGAATAAATAAAACATAGGGTACAGATTCACGGAGAAAACGTGTTGTGCTATTCACATTTCTAAAACTGTGTACAGTAGGTACAGTCCAAAAGAGTTTTAAATATATATATACTTTCAGGAAAACTGACTTTAAAGAAATGAAAGGGAATTTGAGAGATCCAGAGTGCAACAGGGTAAATAATGAAAGATTGGAGAATGGATGACAACTATTAAAAAATATCCATCTAAAAAAACTGAACAGGTTAATGCCAGAAGTAAGTGAATCAAAGTTACACCCCAAATTGCGTTAGTAATCAAATTAAGAAAAATATTTTCGGGGAAAAATACTTTTGTTAACAGTTTAAAAAATGAACAGGATCCAGTTTAAGGACACTAATATGATGAACTGCAAGGCCAAGAGAGAAGTAGAAATGATTATTACAATGGAGACTAAAATAAATACAAATAAAACGTTTTGTTCTAAGTATTGCTGAAAGTTGCCAGGCACAATGTTCAAGCTGTTTCTGTTCTTGTGAAAAAGGCATATTTTTACCTTAAACATTATAAATGAGAAAACATACTGAACATCACCATTATAGCACTCACGAAAACAATTGAATTATTTGTTCTCACATAAGATATTTTTATATTCATTATCTCCAAGCTATCACAGGGAGCAAAATGTTTTATATCTCAACACAGCAGGACACCCTCTCAGATGAATTATAAATATCCCACACTCCTGCAGATACAGAAGCTAAGAGTAGGATCTGTGTTTTAGTGTCTCTTGCTTTTAAAGGATGGAATCTTTTAATCTCTTGGCTTGATCGCATATTATTTGGGAGGGTCACATATCTCTGAGGTGTTATTGCTCCAGAAATGAAGCAATCCTCAGGGTTCTGTGACCCCTATTCAGCAACCTCAGTTCACATGGGTTGTTCTTTCAAAAGTATTTCCTCTGGGTGACCCTCTTTGTGATAAAGCCTGAGTAACACACTGGGAGCCAAGGACACCTGTGGCAACAAGTGTTATCAAATGACAACACAGACACAATTAAAAGACTGACAGCTAATTAATCTCTGGCATTTTTTTCCTTAAGGAGCCAAGGAGGATTTAGCAGATCTTATAAAATTTAAAAAGTGAAAAATCCACTGACACTTTCAATGGAGTGCTTTATTATTTAGATTGAAAAAAGCACCCAGGAAGGAATTGGATAAAGCAAAGGAAATTGCACGCACTCACCAGCAAGGGCAATAAATTGTTTATCAGCAAGTTTCTCACGTCTACAAACAGAGGTCCAATCTATTACTGTTTAGGTCAGTTCCTTGTTAGTGTCAAGTGGTGTTTTTTAACCAAGATAAAAATCTGTAGTATTGTTCCAAATAGGCTTGAGAAAACACTCTCTTACCAGCATTAGGTTTTAGGATGTCCTGCTATATAAGTCCCACAAGAGATCGAAGGTTACAGAGAGTGCTGTCTCTGGACCAAAGTGACTTCCCTAGTTGTATTTTCAGCATGCAGTTTATTTTAATTTCCATCTGCATCTTGTTGCATCTCTGCTTCTGCCTAAATGACAATGGATGTCCAAAGAATTGCATTTGTGAAAACGAAAAGTCGATACAGTGCTACAGGGTACATGCTGTACCGTCTGGGACTGCAAAAGATACAAGGAAACTGAATCTAGGATACAACCACATTAAGGATTTAAAGGTAAGAGCAAAGCTAAACAAGCCGACCAGAGATATAAACTTCCTTCAGAGATTTGCACTATGGGGAGTTTACACTTGTACCAGTATTTATAGGAGGTTTCTGAGAAGACTTAAGACTTCTCTTAGCAACAGAGAAAAAGGTTTAAGTGGTTTGTGCCTTGGAGTTTAAACAAATACAGTATTTCGAACTGTTCGCTGCTTTTGTGTAGATTATATAAGCATTTATATTCTATGTACAAAAGTGGGTTATAAAGGATGTATGTATAAATAGTTAAATATGGAGTCCATTTAAAAGTTAAACATATCTGTGAATCATATTCTGTTCCTGCAAAGGAACAGATAACGAGTTTATTCCATGCTGAAAAGAAATATAAACTCGTTACCTGTTCCTTTGCAGCCTACGCATGCTGACGCAGCTACCTACTTGAATATATTCTGTTCCTGTCTGTTTTCTTGTCTGTGTATCCTTGAGAAAACAGAATCTCTTTGGATGGTAAAAGTGTCATGATATTTATGTAGATTTAGAAACGTTTCTAAAATCAAAGTTTAAATACAACCTACCACATAAAAAGAAGTTTGTGTGTGTGATTAAGGTACTAGGATATACAGCAGCTATAGATTAAATATGTATGATTATTTTCACACACATAATCTACATATTTGTGAATATTAAATTATGATATTGATATTTTAGGAAAAACACATATTCCTGATGAATTATCGTTAAACCATCATCATCCTCCAGATTTTAAATTATTTCTATATTTTATGTGAATCTGTATAATTAATTTCAATCTACAACATATTTGTGAAGGCTTTCTATTAACTGATAAATTAAAGGTTTGTGACATCTGAGCAATAATAAACTCAAATCAATTTATGTCCTGTAGTTATTCTGTAGGCTGTATGTTCAATTAGTTATTTTCTTAAATTAATATCCATTAATCATGCATGTAGCTCACAGTAGCAGTTCATCATTATGTCCAAAAAGATAGGAAGTCATGAGGCATGCTTTGAATCATTTATTACATACTGTATCAGAATAATGGCATTTTCTTTCTTTCATCTTTTAAAATGCAATATAAAAATATCAAATGTTTTCTCAATTAAGTTTTATGAAAGAATGATACTTTGAAGACAATTATTCAGTGGTTTCAATGATCTGAAAATTAATATAAAAGTCCCATCCCTAATTGTCCATAAAACCACAAAATCAATTTTAATTGCTCATGAACTTAAGTGTCCTATACTAAAACTATACAAGGAGTGAGGATCTTACTACTTTAGAATGATGGCACTACAATTCACCACCACTCAGTAAAGAAATGTAAATTAAAATTCCCCGTTAATTAAGGTATGTGTGTAATGAATGATATATTTTCCACTGACACACCTGCAACTGAAAACAATCAACAAGAAAAAAAATGTCTAGCATGATCAGTGGTTTGAAATACACACCACAAACTCTTAATAAACCATTTTGAAGTGTCCTAAAAGGAGACATTTTGTATTATAAAGCCCTGAACCTAAGTAGTCTGCCATTTCTAGGCTTGGAGATGTGTCTATCACAAGTCATGACCATTCATATCAAATGTCAGATGTTTGGTATCTTTGGTATGTGTGCCTTCATCAAGATTTAAATCCAATATTTTATGTCAGTATATTCATTTATTCATAGAGCTGTTCTGAATTTTTGTCTTAGGCAACTGACTTCATGTAGGTATTAAGCCGAAATCACTGAGATATACAATGTTTTTATATACTTTTTCAGAGATGTGATTTTACTGGACTGACACAACTTGAAGAAATTGTTCTGTCATCTTGTGGAATAGAATCGATAGAAGTGAACACTTTCAAGTCTCAAAGCCACCTAAAAACACTGGAGCTCCTGAAGAACAAGTTAAAGCACATGCCTCGTGGACTCCCCCATAGCCTGGAAATCCTCAAACTGGGAAATAACAGGATACAGCACCTGCAGGAGTCAGCTGTTGATGGTTTGAGAAACCTGCGCGTTCTTGACCTTCAAAACAACCTGATATCCAGCCTTCGAGGGAACACATTTACCTCTCTGTTAAAACTCGAAAGTCTCTATCTAGATGGCAATCAAATTGAATCTTTAATGGGTTCCCCTAAACTACCTCAGCTCCGTCAGTTAAGCATTGCGAATAACAAGATTCCCTCTTTACCGGCAAACTTTTTTGCATCTTTACAATCCCTTAAAATGTTAAGTCTTTCTGGAAATCACCTTGTGAAAGTTCCACAGGATCTCCCTCAGACACTCGGGTCCCTGAATTTAGATTTGAATCAAATACGGGCACTGAGGAGTCGGGAAATGGGCCACTTGAAACATCTTTCAGTTTTGTCAGTGGCACATAACAAGCTAGTTTCCATTGACGGCAGCCTCCGTCTGCCAAACCTTACCATGATTGAGCTCTCTGGCAATCATATGAGGCTGCTGCCAAGCAAGTTGACAGCTAAACTAGAAAAGCTGGACTGCCGCCAAAACTTGATTCGGGAAGTTACCCAGCAAGAGCTTTCAGGAATGAACCAACTGAAACACCTGTTTCTGGAAAACAACCTCATTCACCACTTCGAGGCTGCAGCCCTGAAGAACTGCCTGCGCTTAACAAGCCTGGCTTTGGAACAGAACTTTCTCTCAGCCATTCCAGAAGGGTACAAGCATTGTGCTGATAAGGCTGATTTGTCTAGTTATGTGCAAGGTTTTCAGGACTGTATAGACAAGTAATTTGTCATTAATCTACAAAGATGTCAAGGTTTTCTTAAAATCTCCTTGTGAATGTTCAGACAGTAATTCTTCATTAAACTGACTCAATAAATGAATGCCTTTTTACTGAGACATTGTAAACATAGAAAAAGGACACAAGTGTAAACATAGAATATTAATTCTATTCTTACTTTTTTGCAGCATTTTCTATGACGTATATTGTAGTGTGAAATTGTGCCATGAATTTATCAGGTTAATATTCAAAGTGGAGCTGTATATGAAGTAACAATAAGTTAATCTGTGCAGAACGTGACTGATGAAGGTAAAATACAAAGCTGCAACCTGCTCCATATTGGTCTAAAAACTGTAAGACATATGCTCTGACAGATGAATACTCATTTTTTAGTAGTTAACAAAAAGCAAGTTAACAAAAATCTAGCATGTCTGTCTTTAACAAACCTTGTTTATTTTTTTTTCCTTGTCTCCAGACTCCCGGAAACACTCATTCGACTGGATTTGAAGGGAAACCACATTGCAGTTATCCAAGAACAAGAACTCAAAAGTCTCAAGAGGCTCCAGGTTTTGAACCTGAGGAACAACAAGCTGTCCAGCCTGAACGCCATGGCCCTGGAGATGCTCCCGCGACTGAGGAAGGTCTACCTAGATGGAAACCCCTGGAACTGCAGCTGTGAGCTCCTGAGAGTCAAAAGGAGGTTGCTGGCTCGGCAGGTGGAAATCCACACTGAGTTCTGCACCGACCCCCTCCAGGCACAAGGGGACAGCTGGCGAGACCACCTCCGGGCTCAGGACAAATGTGAAGAGCACATCAGAGGCACAGCGCAAGACCCCCAAGAAAGAAAAAGCAAGAGTACAGCTAGGACAGCGCTTCCTGAGCAGACAGAGATAGAGGAATACTACGATTATGATACAGAGTAATCCTGACTGTTTTTTTTTTAATGTTGATGTATTTTAGTAAACCAAACTAATTATTTCAGTAAAGAGTATGACGGTCCCATTGTTGCTATCACTTTTTTCTTTTTTGTGAAAGGAGACAAAAATATTTAACTCTGCCTTTGAAAGCCTTCACAGATGTAATGCTACATAAATTAATGATACTTCTACCTGTACTCTATTTTGTCTTGATAGCATTTGCCTTTTATTTAGCAAGCCTTTCAGCTTCATATATTATTACATATAAAGGAATACAGTCATTTCTATGCCTGTCATTTCAGTTGGATACTGTTGTGCCCTTGCCCAGTTACTAATTTAACAGTGTGGGCTATTACTATAGCTTTCAATTGAGGTATGTTTGAAATTACTTTCGCAATTTGCATGCTCAACACTATTTGCACAACGATTCTCTTGTGAAACACTTGTTGTTTGTGTTTGAACTCCTGTTGATATGAAAGTACTCCCTGCCCCCCAAGTAGCCTAACAGATAAAGAACTACAAAAGCTTCATGACATTTCTCAGATCTTCCTATAGCACTAATGTCCTGTGCAATATGACTCATTTATCTCTATTCCCAGAGGATACAAAAGGAATTTACATGCAGAAATCAATCCACCAATAAAGCAAAAGCAATGACCTGATGCCTGACACCTTTACGACAGCAATTAAGCTGGAGAAGTGAGAAATTGCTTCCCATTAAGGGGAAACTTTAGGAAGGCCAGACTGACAGGGGTCAACACACCCATATTCTTTGGAAAAGTGCCACTGGATCTTTAATGAACATATAACCAGGTTATTGGTTTAATTTCCCATCTAAAGTATAGCACTGGTTTCCAAATTCTGGTTCAGAAGGAAAAGTGTCACCTACTGGTCCATTAATACCACTTTCAGCTGCAAACTGGTTGTCCTTGAAGGTCTTCCAGTCAGTCCATAACAAACTCATCCTTGCTTAGCTTCTGAGAACTGCCAAGCTCAGGTTATGAGGCTACATGTACTGTCGCTTTTCACTTGTGTGGATCATAATACCTTGGTGCTTCCATTCAAAGAAAAGTTCAAGGCAGCCGTTTATTGTTTTTTTTATTCCACTCTGAGCTCTTTATGACTTTGAATCAGTTTCTCATGTAATTGGTCTACATTACCACTGTTTCCATGTCTTTACAAATTGAGAACTATAAGTTATAAATCCTGGGTCACTGCAGATGTTTTACGGCTTCGCTAAAAATACACAGAAATCTTGACGCTCAGCTTCAACGGGTAAATCCACGGCCTTTGGAAAACTCAGAAGAAACAGGCAATTTAAATGATTTCTTTAAAAACACCAGATGGAGTTTTCAGGACACAGATAAGTATCAAGAGTTTATGCACAACCTTGTCTGTTCAGGTGTGTTGTAAGACTTCTTTCTTTAAGCGATAAAAAAGAATGACAATGCTACTGCTTTCATGGGAACATGAATACACATCTATGTTTATAAATGCGACTACATTAATCGTATTTGAGATTGCTGAACCATTACAGATCGTAAAGAAATCTTCTAATTTTGCCAAGGTCGCAACAGTTAATTTTCAACAAGAATGTAATGGCAATTTTATTGATTTATCTATTAACTGTTTGATTTGAGACCATCAGAAAACTATATTTTGCCTAAAATCATTTTTTCTCTCGGCTTTTCTGATCTGTAATCGTTATTCTGTGCTAACAGGGTCTCAGCTACCCACTCCTTCCAATAGGTGGCGATACTTGACAAACTTCACAGGTTTCTTTTCCACCCCTCTCATCTCCTCTATTACGTAACAGACGCAGGATCCTATCGCTGCGCTCCATGTAATATTGCGGGTTCAGAGTTGAAAGGTGAAAAGTGTGAAAGATGGCAGCCGGCGAGCTGAGGTGTTGGCAGTGAATTACATGGCATCCCCCGAGTAGATTTATGTGCGTCTGTCACTTTAAGAATTGGAATGCAGCAAGGTGTGATTTCTTGAGGCACAAACAGGTCCCTGGAACATTTACGAAAGATAGTACAATGGCAGTAGTGTACGAGTTTGTGTGGAGAGTGCTGCACGCCCTTCTCCACCTCCAGCGAACGCTCCTCAGCTGGTTCCGAATCCGAATTTGGAACTGGAACTGGCGGCTGTGGAAGCGGGCAGTGGCAGCGGTCCTAGTGCCGGCAGTATTCGGATTCCAGAACCACATCCACGAGAACAAGAAGCCGGTAGCCGGGACCGGCAAGAGGAGCAGCCGGCGGGTTCGCTGGCGAGCGGACGGGAAGTCTCTGGAGAAGCTCCCGCTGCACGTAGGTTTATTGATCGCAGAAGAGGAGCCTCGCTATACAGACATCGCCAACCTGGTGGTTTGGTGCATGGCGGTAGGCATCTCTTATGTCAGCGTCTACGATAATCAAGGTAGGACACCGTCAAGCAAAACAGCAGATGAAATGATGTGTTTTGCTGTTCTTCCAGGATGTAAAGTCAGGAAGTAAAGTCCCGATTTCCTTACCCGTGCTTCGGCGCTCTACTCCACTGGAGCTGGTTTTCGGAACTAACTTTGTATCAGACTGAAAAAAAACACAATGATAACTGGGTTTTAGTCTTATACGAAAGACACACAGAGGTTATGGCTTGCAGGTGCACCTTTTTTAAAATTTTCGTGTTTCAGTTTGTGTGGTTTGATTTTAGGAGTACAGAATTAAAACAATACTAAAGAAGCTTAAATGATACAATAGCGTTAGTGTTTCTCGATCGCTGCTTTTACATCCACTTTCAGGTTTTGTTCTGCTCCAATATTAACAGGTTCTGTATTTATACTGTATCTCTGTTCTACACAAAAAGTTTCAGGTGACATCTTGTTGGAAATATAGTGTCAACTGTTCTTGACACCCACATTTTTAAGACACAAGTCTTAAAATACAATCGATTCATTCAGTACGTTTCAGAGAACATTTCAAAGAAGGGTAACAGACACGAGTGTTATCCAAGATTTTCAACTACTTCATTAATTATTTATCCCGCATATCAAAAGAAACATCACTTCTAACTGCAACATATTCATAAAGTTGAAAAGAAAAATGAAACCGGTACATGCATTATGTTCTGTAGCTATGGTATCAATAGTTGATGTATATGGGTTTTACAGTGAAAGTCTTAGGCTCACAGGTTTTATGGTCACTGCAGAATGCAGTACAAGCTGTACATCAGAGACCCATGCTTTGCACTGGGTTCAAGATGCTGTCCAGTTCCTGTCACACAGCTTGTACAAGCATGTTCCTGTTCATTGGTCTCTGAGCTCTAGATGTTACATGTTGTCCTACTTCATCCCATAAATATTCAATGGGACTTAAATCTTTTGACTGATTTTACACGTTAAAATCGTGTAATAATTGTTAACGTATAGGAAAATGATTCTACTTCACTTTCTTACCATTGTTCCATTCTTTCCATGGTCTTTCATTACCTTTTATATCTTCTTTTTTGGTTTAGAAATATTTGCCACTGAGTAAAGACCTAGAGACAAAAGTTTTTTTTTCCTCTATTGTCCAGAAGTTCTGCTTGAGTCCTCTGTTTTGAGAATTTATCATCTGGAAGAAGAACAAAAGAAGTTGTTTGCTTGGGATAATCTGTAGAAAATGAAAAGTGAAAAATGTCTGATGTAGAAACTAACTTGTGTCTAGGTGTAGTATTTTTAGCAGTATTTACAGTAACTCCCAGGGTTTTACTCTTCAAACTTCCACAGAAGTAGCATTTCCTCTCAGCAGTTGATTTAATGGGCCTGTGAATTGTTGTAAGCACCATGGGAGAGCAGTGGATTATACAGAAAATTCAGTCTGGTAGTGTAATGGAAACCTGAAACCATTGCAAAGGACCCTGGAAAGACCTGAAGCAAATCACAATCTCCTAGGCCTGAAAGTCATGTGATTTTGTCAAATGACAGAAACTCATCATTGAATCTGAGACTTTCAATCAGCTGATCATGTCATTCTGAGTCATTTTTCATTTCCTGTGTTTCTAAACTAATCTCACTGCAGGAGGCTAGCTGAAGCTTTGTATGTTTTAGAGTAAACAGTAAATATTTTACAACAAACAAAACGTTATTACTAGGTGCAGTGATACTTGTCAATAATTGCATTGTCCTATGGATTTGAACTACACAAGTTGATACTGGTATACTGGTGTGACAATACAACGCTGCCCCAAAAGGACATTAAACTGAGGTGTAGTGATAGTTATAATATCTTGATTTTTAAATGTAGAAAATGCAAGACCTCCAGTTCAGAAGTATATTACACAGGAAGTATTTTGCAAGCATAGTTAAGTAACCCTTATAACTTTTCCATCACACTGTCACAGTGTCAGCTTTCATGTTTTAGCTCCAAACCTGAGATTCTAAGCTGGCCAGAAGAGCCAACATAAAAACATCCTACTGCAAAATGAAAGAGTTTATTTTGAACTGAAGCCATATTTCAACCCCAAAACTGCATGTCCTAGACAATGTGCTGAATTGTTCTATTCAGAAAAGACTAACATTTAAGTCACAAATGTTCGTATGTCTTAAAAAGAAGTGAAAAGTGGAACATTAAACGTATTTAAAGTCCACCAAGAAGAGACATTGAAAAGGTTTTTTTTTTTCCTTTTAGGAATCATCTTTTTGCCATTCTGGTAATGATCTGATAACATTTAAGTTTCTGATATGATATAAGATTCTTTGTTACTATATTGAAACTCAAGAAAATAATAAACATATTACTCTTAAGGGTACCAAATTCACAAAGTTATCAGGAAAACACAAATATTTTTTTGTAGCACATGTGCTCATTGACAAGACCTAGGTAAAATGTCTAATGCTGATTAATGTACCTCCTCAATGGAGGTGGGTGGGTGGTTGGGTGATGTGAAAGTCTCAGGCTTGTAGTACAGAAGTGCACTCTTGGAAGCAATACAGGCTGTACATTTGTGGTACGTTCTTCACAATAGAAAGGGACAGAGTCTGGACAAGCATGTGTATCTTTTGAGTCACCCTGGTGCTCAATGGGGATCAAGTCTGGCAAACTGACATCTATGGTATAACTGTTACATTCTCCTCTTGAAAAACAAGTGTTACACAAGCAGCACGAGGACTTACTTTGTCCTGCTGGCACATTAAGATGAGCGCATAGGCAGCAATCGATCACTGCTAGTGGAATTCTGTAGTGACTTGACACATCTGCCCCAGCCATCACACTTAGATCGGTCTCCCCATCAGTTGTCGGTGTATCATTCTGCACATCTACGCCACACTGACAGAGGCAATCAAAAACCTTGATTCATCACATCGCTGCTCACCAAGTCCATCTGAGCTGACATAGTCCAGTTTCCAACCTATCGGTGGCATTTCAACATTGTTCTCTTGATAAGCAAGGGTGAATTGGTGCCTTTCTTGATTTTCTTCAGTCTTCACATCATTCACTTGTGCCCAATCAACTCTCTCACTCGTGGTGTAATGTAGTGAATATGGCACAGTCAGCAATACTGAAATGTAGCATGATCAGTCACGGATGGTCCCATAATGAAGAAAACACTCAAAGAGTGATATGTTTCCTTTGCTGCTAAGTAATAGAGCCTAACATTAATTATCTACTACTCTTGCCAGCTTCAAATTTAATGTGCCATCTATACGGGGTGGAGCAAGTTGGGGTATTCGGAAAGACAGATTTCTAATACAAGAAATTGTATAGGGCTAATAAAGTGATCTTATCTTATATACTTTCTTTCCATAACTTGTCTTTTTTTCTTTTTCCATAACTTGTTTGTTTCTATATGATCTCTTGCTTTTGGAAAATTGTGCAAGCTTAAAACTACTTGACAGGACAGTTAAGATCACTTTATTGGCCATATACAATTTCTTGTATTAAGAATTTCGTCTTTTCTGATACCCCAACTTACTCTCCATGAGACACAGACAGGGAGAGAAGCTTGGGCTCAGAGCACAGGGTCAGTCGTTTATACGGTGCCCCTGGAGCAGTTGGGGTTAAGGGCCTTGCTCAGGGGCCTAATGGAGTAGGAGGTCTCTGCCGGCCGCAGGATACGAACCAGCAACGTTCTAGCCACAGGCACAGATCCTTAGCCACAGAGCCACTGCACCGCACCTGTTAGTTAGTGCCCAGTATATCATAGAAGTTGCTGCTTGCGAAAAGCTAAGCCCAGACTTGCCTCTGGCAAAACCCAGCCACTTGTGCAAAGTCGCTTGGGCAATCCCAGTTTCTATTGCTTTTGACAGCATGAGCCAGGTTTGAAACAGTGATTTAAGGACTGGAGGGTTCAAGGTGTGTTCCAAGGAGTTGCCATTACTGGTTGAGCCACATCTGTAAGGTTCTGTTCTTTGTAAGTCTGCCAATCCTCTTACTTTGGCCTTTATCAGCTTTCTATAAAGGAAATGTTATTGGGAAATAATATATTTTAAACTTATTTTCAAATGAAGAATCGCTATTATTATTATTTTTTAATACCCACCCATTTTTTAGGCTTTATTTTTGTGTTTTCCGTATCCAAGCTGAGAACAATAAGCCCTGCAACGGTCCTCTGACCTGTCCACCTTCGATCCCCCATCTTTTAACACTTTACATGAAACACAGCCTTGTATTGGACATCCAATAGCACACTCCTTCTTGGGGAGTTTTGGACACAGTCAGGTAGAGACATGACTCAAGCTCAGACCCATGACACATGGATCATCGACCACTTTGAATTCGAACAAATGCCTTTACAGGTTGAACCAGTCAGAAACCCTCCAACTCTGTTGTTCTTGCCTTAAGATCTGCCCTATTGCACTGATATATATTATCTTTGTTTTACAGGTATCTTTAGGAGAAATAATTCAAGACTCATGGATGAAATCCTAAAGCAGCAGCAAGATCTATTGGGTGTGGACACTTTAAAACCCTCTGTTGAGTTTTTAAATAACAGTAATGAGAAGCTGGACCACCAAGGTGAGTGGCCTTTTTTGATCAATTGTTTGATTACTGTTGAGACTACTTGTTGTTTTTTTCCAGGGAAGTGTGGCATTTATTTCCTCGAGAAGGAGGACCCTCCTGCAGATCCAGTAGCTGGAGTTGTTTTTTGGGAGAAAAAATCCTCTCAAATGGCAGAGTATACTTAACCATTACATCGTGTTAGAAAAGATGTACTGTACATCGGGGACATCAGTATGTTCTACCCAGGAGTCTTTGGCATACCGATCTGACACTTTTACATTGTGATCTGCAAAATGTAATGTAGGCAAGTGTGCGGGCTGAAGGATGTAAAATCGCTTTTTGAAAGAAATAGATACATTCTTTCAGGAATACTGCCCAGTAAACTACAGTAGTGTTTACTGAAGTATTAATGCTTTATATTATTCCTAAAGTACCAATGGTTTTATCAAAACTGACTCCCAGAGGTTCTAATTATATTTTTTACATATAGGTGTTGCTACCCATTTATACAGCTGGGTGTGCTGGAGCAATCTGGATAAAGTCACTTAATATTCCAGGGCTTCTCAAAGAACACTACCTGTTACAGTGCGGAGTTAGTCATGGCATAGTAAGATTATGTAATTGTAATAACGTCGATAAATAGTACGAAACGGCAGTATTCAAGAACCTTTCTCTTTTAAAAAGAAAACTATTTGTGGCGGACAAAATGAAAACGAGCAAAGTTCTAGCAACATTTTTAAAGGATACACCTTTGAAACTTCTGTCTCACGTGGATAGCTTAAAGGCAAACTCGGAAACCTTCAGGAGAAAATGGACTCCTAAGTTGGCAGTTCAAGGAAACAAAAAAAAAATACTCCACCTCAGGTTTATCATCGCTCCTTACAGTTAGTAAAAATGGATTCATATTTTCTATTGGTCAGGGTGGTCAGTGCTGCCTTGCGCTGTGGGGGTCCTGGTTCCATCCAGGGTGCTATCTGTGTGGAGTTTGTATGTTCTGTCTGTGCTCCCATGGGTTTACTCCCACAGCCCAACGACATAGTGGTAGGTTAATTGGCTTCTGAGCAAATGTGCGTCTGCCCTGTGATAGACTGGCATGGCGTCCAGGGTGTCCGCTTGCTTGGGTCTGTTGCAGCTCCTCCGTAAATCTGAATTGGAAGAAGTGGTTAGAAAATGGATGGATGTTTTCTATTATTTTTGTGATGTAATAAATAGGCTCCTTTTGGACACTTATAGTATTAGTCCACATAATACAGTATAAAATGCAGACCTTTTAGACTAAATGTTTATAAGAGTTTAACAATGTAATAGATTAACATGTTATTAATGTTATAATACAGACACAATGCATTAAACATTTCCAGAAAATACTAGAGTTAAATCACCCCACTCCCTTTCTTGATCACTATGACTAAATTACTAGATTTGAGGCAGGTTTAATTTTAGGACTAACACGCATAACATTTGCAAAATTATTTTTATTGGGCTCTTCAGTCTTCCATCATAATGAGAAATCGAAATCGAAGAGGTCAGTCCTTGCTTAATCAGACAAAAAAGATTTGTAAGTGTAACAAGCTCTAAAAAAGTTGCTGTTGATTTTACCTTGTTGTATTGTAAACACATTTAACTGGAATATCAACTTCCTTTTGTTTATAGAATATAACACTTATTATGAAAATAAACAGTTTACATGAAAGCATGGTGTTGGCTAAACTTTAAGCTGGTGCAGTAGTAGTTTCCATTACAGAAAATCAATTCACTTATCTAGGGCATTAAATAATTAAAGGAACCGTAATCTTAATACTGTACTTGTTATAACAGTATAGTAAAACACCTCAGATCTTTCATTTATGGACCTTAGCTACTGTGTTATTACGGGGTATTATATTCCAAAGTCACTATCGGCTTTAGAACATAGCCTGTAGTATATTTGGCACCATTCAAACATTATCTTTAAACATTACATTTAAAACTCATTTGCATTTGTAATGCAAAAACATCCTTTGCTCTTGGCCAGCAGGACTAAAAAGAAAAAGATCTAAGTTAACTCTTAGTATGTCATTGGAGTCCAATACAGTATTCAGATTTATTTTACTCTGTCAGACTAATATCCATTAGCTGTAATTAATAGCAGTTTCTAACCAGATTTAGGCTTTGTTTTGCTTAAACCTAAAATTATTATTTTTGGTGTTTTATACCTTTAATTAGGGACATTCTGCAATGGTCTTATTACACTGTGAAAATGTTTCTCCTCCATATAACCTGCCTGAGCAGGTTTGTTATATCCAGCTGAAGAGGCACGTCTAAAAACATTCCTAACGGGGACCCCAAGACTTTCTAACCAACCTTGTTTTAAAGGCAGGGGATCCCGTGATTGTGACATGCAGGTTTAGTTAGCTACATGTGTGTGAATTGTCTGAGATGGTAACAGAGTGGTTTGCTGTGTTTGCAGCCCTGTGGTGTCAGGCAGCAGTGAGGGTATTGTCCCCAGACGATGGGAAGCCCAGCATAGTGAGAGCAGCCCAGCAGCTGTGCCAGTTAGTGGAACAGAAGGAGAGGAGGGCCGCAGATATAGACGTAAACATGGTGGACTCTGTACTCAAAGGTAAGTCATGTCCCAAAAGAAAACTGTGTGTACCGTCTTAATGTGGTCGTCTCCTGATTTGCTCCAGGAGGGTGAGTGATACTTAATGTTGGGAGTGGTCCTCACTGGAGTTAAACAGTTCCTTGTGCCCCAGGCAAGCAAAGCAAAAACTGTGTGTATGTACACAAGATGAACATAAACAAAGTACGACTCACTATGGAACTTTCTCTGTGGTGGAATGTTTGTCAAAATCTAGTTCCTACAACTTTTGTTTTGAAGGATTTTGATCAGTTTTGTGCTTATGGATAGTTAGGGTGTAAGGACTGTTAAATTAGGAATGTTGATGATGAAACAAAATGGAAAATGATTTTAATTGTATAATGATAAATATATCAGAACCACAATTTATTAATGATGACATTTATCCCTTACAACCTAGGAGGTCATTGATATACAGCCTGTTGAGGTAATAGGAAACTAACATCAGATTTCAGAAAAAAACATCTTAGTAAAGTGTAGCTATCATTATGCTTTTCCAATGTATCTCATTAATGCAGTCTTTGACTAAGAAGTTCTCTCAGATAATAACTGCAGTCTTCAATTAATGCTAGTGCTGAAGGACCTGTGATAAACTAGTTTTGTTCAAATGTAACGGAGACCGAAATTAATCACTTTAATTTATTTAAGATTATAGCCCCTGGGTAATATTTATAGAAATATGTCATAAATATAGTTTTATACTTACAAGGGCTCTGCTTTGCTCAGTTGAATGTCTCTCCTGGCATTTAGATCTCACTAACAATAGCATGGTAAGAATGTGGAGAATGCAGCCAACACTAATACTGTCCAGAAAGGTAACAGGAGATTTACAGGAGTATTGCACAGCTTCAGGTCCAGAAACTCACTTCCACTGGTAGTTTTACAGCAGAGACTTAATTGTTTTGAAATACCCTTTTTGGCTTCTGATTTACCATATAGACCACAGGAGAACCTCTTTAAATTTCTTCTTGTTTGAGCCACAGAGGGTATCTTTTCATTGCAAACTGTGTTTTAAGATGCACAACATACGAAAGGAGAGTATAAGAACTTTTCCAATTTCAAGTGTGTGTTGTGTTGTAAGGGGTGAGGTCTCTATGCGTTTCTTGTCATCATGATGCTGCTGTGTAACTGTTTTGTGGTGATTCATTTTACCATTATAATGTTATCGGCTACATTTTACATTTTCAAAACAAAATCTTAGTTGTCTGCAAAGAAATCTCATCTTAGTTTAGTTATATAATAATAATTAGTTAAACTTGTATAGCGCTTTTCTGGACACTCCACTCAAAGTGCTTTACAGGTAATGGGGACTCCCCTCCACTACCACCAATGTGCAGCATCAACCTGAATGATGCGACGGCAGCCATAGTGCGCCAGAACGCTCACCACACACCAGAAATCAGTGGGGAGGAGAGCAGAGTAATGAAGCCAATTCACAGATGGGGATTATTAGGAGGCCATGATTGGTAAGGACCAATGGGAATTTGGCTAGGATGCCGGGGTTACACCCCTACTCTTTTCGAAAAAACGCTCTGGGATTTTTAACGAACACAGAGAGTCAGGACCTCGGTTTTACGTCTCATCCGAAGACAGCGTCTGTTTACAGTATAGTGTCCCCGTCACTATACTGGGGCATTAGGACCCACATGGACCTCAGGGTGAGCGCCCCCTGCTGGCCCCACTTACACCTCTTCCAGCGCAACCTTGGTTTATATATATACTGGTTTATATATATAAACTGGTTTATTATATATACACCTGTCTGTCTGCCCTACAGTATATGTACAATGAGAGGCATTAAATTCATACCATCCAAGTTTCAAGAGGATGTTTTTGCCATCTGTAAGGGACTCGGTACCGATGAGCCCCATTACACACTCACAGTTTGACTGTTTATTTTCACTGGACAAGTACTGCTAGTCAGTAAAAAAAACATATGTGCTGTTCTTTGTAGGTTTAATTGCTAAACGCATGAAGACCAAAAACTGCAGCTTCTATAATAACTAGGATTAGATGAACAAGTAGATGACCAGAAAAAGTAAGGTGTGGAGTGAAAGAGCATGATCCTATCATTCTAATTATCTTTTAGTAAAAATATTTCTCAACTGATGCAGTTATTCCCATGTTGCAAAATTAGCCCTACTGACATATCCGGGTGGCTTCAGTACATTAACGGGATCTTTAAATAAGTGGGTTTGGGGAAAAACGGACACAAACGTAGCTGTGAGGTATTAAAAAAGTACTCTTTATTTACAGTGTATGGGGGGAAAAAAGCGAACAAAACAAAAACCTGTGTGTCTGAGCTGTCACTAGTCTTCTTGTCCCTGGTTATATAGTTAGCCAGGCAGCCAAGCTGCTTACCTGCTTCAAAAAGACATACTGTATCTTTCGCAGGCTCTTCCAAAAGTAAGTCTCTCTCCAAGAGTCTTAAAACGTGCATCACTTCGCAGAATTTTCCTGCTCCCTTCTCCCTCTGTGAAGCGCTCAGCAGAGGGTGTGCTCTTTTGCAAGAGAGCAGAACAATGGCAGCCGAAGTGGAAGCCTCAGGTTCCTGGTTCTGAATGTCACTCAAACAATTGTCTTTCATCAATTGGTCAGGTGACTGTGGTCAGCAGGTCATTCCCCATTATCTTCTTGGGAATGTGGTTTCATACAAAAACCTCCATCGTGTCGGAACCTACTGCCCTTATACAGTACATAATATTAAGTCAAATATTTTATTGGGCTATCTGTAACTAGGTATTAATATGCATTTCTTTAATTTACTGTGTATAAAAGAAGTATTGGCACAAGCTAACACCATGCAGAAGGTAAATCTGCTTCTTTGCTAAAAGCTGAAAAAAGTGTCATCTGTTAAGTTAAATACAATCTTGAAACAAAGTGAATTACACAACCCTATCAAAAATCTCCATTGTGCTACTTCACCATTAACAGAATACAGCATAAGGTTAACATGATTCCCTGTGTAAGAATGTCATAGTGCCAAAACACAAACTTGTCCGGTACAAAACAAACCAGCTGAGATGGGAGCACAGAAAATGCAAAAGTCTAGAGTCCCCAGTCTTATCCTCTTGTTCTAATAAGTAGCTTGAGCACTTATTAAAATCAGTTACTGTATTTAAAGGTTGTACTTAAAGTGGAGAAGTACCAAGACTACATTAAATTGATTAGCCTAATACTACATAAGATGGAATGATTACCAAAAGTCATGAGGATACACAGACATCCGCTGTGCCATTTTTTATAATACGATTGCAGACTCTCATTCCTGATGGGTTTTATTTTTACAGAGATTAATTTGATGTACACTATGTTCTGCAAACCTGTTTTTGTAAATTCAAATACAGGTAAATATCATATGTCACGGTCTTTACTGCACAACCCTGAAAACGTTTTGTCAACGATTTCCCCTATTTTGGATATTTGGGCAAAATGACTCAATGAAGTTAAATACTGCCACAAAACAAACTGAATTACAAAACAACAAGAATCAGGTGTTATGTTTTTTTACAGAAGGGGGCAAATGATGTACATTCTGAAATTTTTTTATATGGTTAGGCCTAAAATTATAATATTGTATGTCATATCTTATCATAAACTTGAAAACATCTTGGCATTTATTTCTCCTAATATACAGTAGTAGATACTGCATCTATAGCAGGTCGGACCCATGAAATGTCAGGTAGTAACCACAAGGGGGCGACAACACCTCCCTGAGGAGCAATGTGCTCAGGCAGCATTGTGGCATTTCATGCAGGAGTGTGATAAATTGAAGATGATGTGGAATTAGCCACAGGTGCTTAGCTATCTGGAAGATGTATAAACAGGCATTCAAACAGGGAGAGAAAAGAAAGTCCGCTCCATGTGTCAGGGAAAGGAGCTGGAGGTGCAGGTGGAGAAGATGTGAAAAATATACTCTAAAGCAGTGCTGACGGAGGGAGGCACTACTGGAGAAGAAGAAGCAGTTGCCCCCTGTACTAAATTATTATAGGAGGAAGAAGGAAAGCGTCCAGCAGAAGCCAGAGAAAACGCAGTCACTGGTGGAGGACATGTTTGGTCTGCCTTACCTTCCCCCAATTTCCTCCTGTGTCCCCAATGAATGTGGAAGAGCCATTAAACGGGGTGTTGTTAACTCATTTGTCAGCTGCCTTAGGTGCCCTGCATGTTTTGGCCTGTGATTTTTGTTTAAAGGAATATCAGTACTAGTGCTGAATGTTTTTTTGTCTGAATAAGATTCTATTGGTGACATTATATTTTAAAAATAAAACTTTCCTTTGGGGGGAAAAAAATCTCCACTTTATCATAACTGTTGTGATGGTTTGGCATTTTTACACATTTATCATTTCATGCTGCACTATCAGATTGTAAAAGTACCCACATGAGCTATTAGATTATGTCCAGTTGGCTCACTCACAGAGAGTGGCATTAAATTAGTTTTATGAAAAAATGTGTGAGCAATAGCACAGAGGTATTAGTCATGAAATCACTAAAAAGGTAGACAATCAAGTAAGAAAATAGATCAAGGCAACTGCCTACTGTATTAAAGTATGGAATTTAAGTATTCTGATGTCTGATGCATAATAAGTAATGCACAATCTAAACTTGTTTTTAACATGGACACGGTAAATACCTTGTCTACCATTTTGGAAAGATAACCTTTAAGTAGATGGCATTAGTAGTTAGAAGTAGTAGTTATTATTAATACCTGAAGAAGGCTCCACGGCCGAAACGTTGTGTCCTCTTTCTTCTTTTTTTCAGCATGGAATAAACCTATTACTTGTTATTATTAATAGTCATAAACTACTTACACACATGAAACCAATCACATCTATTTTAGATCCCATTCCCACCACTTTATTTCAGTCCCATTTCTCTTCTCTTTGTCCCATTGTCCTCAATATTATAAATGAGTCCTTGAGCACTGGCGTTGTACTGACGGTCCTCAAAACTGCTGCCATTACCCATGTGCCAAAAAAGCCTAACATGGCTCTGGACAATCTAAACAATTTTTGCCCCATCTCCAACTTATGCTTTCTTGCAAAAATTCTAGAATGTGCTGTCACATTTCAGTTACATAACCACCTCATGACAAACAACATTATTGAACCCCTCTAATCTGGCTTCTGTCAACTTCACAGCCCAGAAACTGCAAAGTCGCTAATGATCTTCTAATAGCTTTTGATTCTGGTTCTCTTTCTATACTCATCCTTCTTGATCTCAGTGCTACTTTTGACACTGTTGACCATGACATCCTACTTTCTCATCTTGAGACTGTGTTTGGAGTTTCTGACACTGCTCTCAAATGGTTCAAGTCTTACCTCACTGACCGCTGTCACTTTCTCTCTTAATGGGTATAGGTCTGAAATTGGTCTTGTTAAGTCTAGTGTTCCTCAGGGCTCAATACTGGGCCCATTGCTTTTCAGCATTTACATGTTTAATGTTACATGATCACATGGCCTCAGCTATCATTTCTATGCTGATGATACTCATATATACATCTATACCAAACTTGACACTGATGTGGCTGTCTCTATTCTATCTAATTGCATCTCTGACATAAAAACTTGGATGACTCAAAATTTCCTTCATCTTAACTGTTACAAGACTGAAGTCATGCTTATTGGCACCCCCCATCAACTCTGTAAAGCCAGTCCTGTAACCCTATCTGTAGGTGGTTCTGTATTTGAGCTTCAGTCTAAATTGAAAAACCTTGGAGTGATATTCAGTTCTGGCTTAACATTCGACCCACACGTGCTGCATATTGTCAACACCAATTTTTTTCATCTCAGAAATATTGATAGACTACACCCAATGTTATCTAACTGTTGCTTAAAAACTGATCATCACATTTGTATTTGTGTTTGACTACTGTAATGCTCTACTCGAAACTGCAGTATGTCCATATTTCGGCAACCAGAATCCTGTCCAGGTCTAGTGCAAGTGATCACATTACTCCTATCCTGGAGGCTTCATGTTAAATTCCGTGTGGACTTTAAAATCCTCACGCTCACCTATAAGGCTCTGCATGGCTTGGCACCTCAGTACCTGTCTGAACTGTTATCGCCCTACTCCCCACCTCGCAACCTTCGCTCTTCTAATTCTGGTCTCCTAACTGTCCCCCAAGCCCGTCTTCATTCTGTGGGCGACAGGGCCCTCTCCTGTTCTGCCCCCAAGCTCTAGAACTCTCTCCCCAAGGATATCAGAGAGTCCACCTTCTCTAAACCCCTTAAGAGGAGCCTTTACTTAACTGGTTCCATTCTTTACCCCTCTGCTCCTTCTATACTTGTTACCACTGTCCACGGTCTGCTCTGTGTATTGTTATTGTGTGTATTCTTTTTATTTATTGTTGTTGTCATTCTGTAAAGCGCTTTGAGAAGCCATCTTTAAAGGTGCTATATAAAATAGTTTTTTTTAAAATTATTATTCTACTAATAATACACCTAATAATAAATGCTGTCTCAGAGATATTTTGTGCATTCAGCCAAGTAGGTTCAACGAAGGACGGTAACATGGCCATGATGACAAGGTACAAGGTAGTCCTGTGAAGTGAGTCGAGGGAAAGGTCCAAGGACAGTGACAGAGGTTACAAGGAAAGACTTTATTCTCTTGGAGGAAGTGTGAATATAGTGGCAATAAAATGATGTATTTCGTATCTCTTCTCAGAAACATTGTTTGTAAGATCCATGTAATCTGGTTAAATTGTGTGGATGCCTATCATTGCCAAACATGTTAATGTTGTCAATATTCTTTATTTCCAGGTGCAAAACATATACCAGATCCTGATTTAGTGCTGAAGTTTGGCCCGGTGGACAGCACGCTAGGGTTTCTTCCCTGGCACATCAGACTAACAGAATTTATGTGAGTGGCTGAATTCTATTTTTTCAATTTTTACACTTCAACTGCAGAGAGGTTTTTGTTTTAACTCATGTTTGGGATTCAAATGTTCATCCTTAGTTAAATTTCAGTAGCTTTTGGGTGTGAATGATCATATTACTGGTGCAAAAAGGTTGGTACTGCAGTTTTTGAGAAGAGACTGGGAGGCTTTTCAGGCTTAAAACCTAGAAATATAAAGTATTATGTTGTTCTCGATTCATGTCATTCTGAAAGAACAGTCAACCTCTTCATCTATGTCTTTTGCTTGGCCTTCTTCAAGAAGAGACTGAGGAGAAACAGTGATGAGTTTCCTCTCTCGTAGCTTTCTTTGTGGGTTTGTTAATTCATGGTTTTATATTTTAACCAATGGAGTCCAAAAAACGGACTTTATCAGTGGTATTAAGTGTTTCTCTGCTGCCCTGCAACACTTTTATATCAGATGCTACTGTAGGGGACTGAATAGAGCCCACTTGTGACCAATTTACATAGTCTTCTAAAGAATTTAGCCTCTTGGATAAATGACTAACATCCTGCATCTGGATGGATCTGGAATTATGGAAAATATCTAAAAGAAACAGTCGTTAATACATTATATATTGGAAAAACGGGAAAGGAGGTGATAAACTAGAAACATCTCCCCCATAAATGCACAAAGCTAGAATATTCTAGGCCAGTTCATTTTGTTTAAATAATGGGGTGGATGAAGGTTAGAAGCAATAAGAGGCCATTTTGTCCATCTAGCCCAATTAGTAGTTAGTATTTCATTAATCCAAGGATCTCATTCAGCTGTTATGTGAAAAAAGCAGGCTGTCGACTTACCCATCGTGGCTGGTAACTTGTTTTATACTCCCACCACCCTTGGCTTAAAATTGTGCCTCCTGTTCTCGGTTTTAAATCAACTTCCCCATCATTTCTGCAAGTGGTCTCTGGCTTAGGGTTAAATTTAGATTTTGTTAACATTACATTATTACTAGATGTTATACAGTTTATTGTAAAATCACTTCATTTGACTACATGAATGCATTAACCCTTTTTTTGCATTCCAAGAGAAAAACATTTTCTTAGTAATGAGTTTTGTTTGATGTTGAATGGAAAGGGAAAAAATGACAAACTGAAAGGAAGATCCGTAGCTGGTTTGAAGTGAGTATTTGTGCTAATACATCCCAAGGAGAAGAAATTTCCAATTTATAATGCAAACTTGTTTTTAAAACTACACATCAAACAAAATCAACAGTAAGTCAGTCACATAGAGTTTACTAATTGGCAGCAGTGTCTGAATGGTAATTGCTTTGTTGTATAAATTGCTGCTGATTTTTCTTTCCTCAGGTGGCATGACAGTGCCCATTTATTGTCCACCCAGCAGTTATGAGCTCTGGTATAATAAGTACTTACATTGAATGTTGAATACTAAGCTGTCCCACAGTCTCTGTTGACTGTTCTGTTGATATTGTAAACACTAGATGGCAGCACTCACAATTGTTAATGTAACATATTAACCTCTACCAGGTTTATCATCTGGGGCATCTATATCTACATTAATATACAGCAGCGCTTCTAGAATGATGAAAGTCCCCAGTAAACAACTATGCACACTGAAGGTTGAGTAGTCCTTCATGGGTGTCCACTATGAAAGGATAAATTAAATTATGAATCTGTTATTTTACCAGCTATGAATGTGATCCATAACCCAGGCAATAGATAATTATGTAAAGTGAGAAGAGATGTTTAATGTAATTAGTTCCTGAAGTAACATTGTTTCAGTCACAGTTTTCTATTTTTTCCTCTGGACAATTGCTGTTGGGTAAAAAGGATTTAGAGCAAAATATTGTATCTCTAATCTCTAATCTTAATCTCTAAAATGTAGAATCTTCAGAAAAGAAGAAAGGTGTCTCTGTAATATTTGTCAGTGTTCCCTTTGCATAATAAAGTCAGTTATTTTTTCCTAAGGCTGCCTAATTTTCTTTTGCAGTTCTTTACCCTCCCACATAAACATCACATATGAGGACTTTTTCTTGGCGCTGAAGCGATACGCTGCCTGTGAACAGCGTCAGGGGAAGTGACAGCCGGGGCTGCCATGGGAACCAGGATGCGATACACACACAGAAAAAAGGGACCTGCCCTCTCTGGATGTTTACAAGCACCCAAGAACAAATTCCAGCCTCGTTCAGCACTTGCATTTTTTATTTGAGTTTCTCAAAGGAAGATTAATAAAATGTCTTATTACCTCTCTGCGGCTAATGGGGTATGTCTGTAGAGGCCTGAAGTTAATTCATGGAAAATGTGACTTGGTTCTAGGGGGAGAGTCAAGCAGTTTGTTTGGTATGGCTTATGTTGTAATGTTCATTGTTAGGCACTGGGTTAGTAGTATGGTGTATCTGCTTTGTTTTTAAGTACGGTTTGGTTCAAACGTTTAAAAAAATCTGTTGCCATTCAAATCTATATGGACCTAAATTATGTTTTCTTTACTTTATGCACTAAAAAAATACCTGGCCAATTTACTTGAGTAGGAGACTTTGGAAAATTCTAAAGTGCTAAATATTTTAATTAGCTTGTATTTTACTGCTGTTGCGTTTTCTTGGGTGAATCAACAGGTGTTCATGAAAGCAATAGTAAGGATAGGTGTGAGTTGCTGAAGAACGCACTGTCTAGTAGTGGAGTTTGATGGAAGATCAGAACAGTGCTTCTATGGAGAAGCGTTTTGTATGCAAAGCACAGTAGATCCCATGGCGTTTTTTTTATTCTGTGGAGAGGCCGGTGCAGTGCAGTGCTGTAACCTGTTAGCTACGGCTATGTGTGTTTAGCTATGTGGGCGTACAGAAGGATTTTCAGGGGCATAGTTCATATGATTTCAATTACAGATTTTAATATGATTTGAGAAGTGAAGAGACTTGAAAAAAACATCAAAGTGGAAAAGATGCTTGGCATAGAAGTCATCAAATGAGCAATGAATCCTGTAAAAAGCAACTATTATCTATGACGCTGGTTTGCATTTTGTGAGTTATGGATGATTCAATTAAATTATTGTTTTGCGAGACAGTCTGGGTACAGCCAGGATTTATTCTCCATACGCATTTAAAATACAGTTACGTAGCTTCTTCCCTTTCTTCACAAGAACTTGGAAGACACAATCATTTAAGGATACGTTTCCAAGCAGAGTGCATATCTCAGCTTCCTGTAAAATTGACAGAATAAGATTTTATAGTGGGTATTGCTATGAAATGAATTCCCACATGAAACATGCATAAAAATGAAATTAAAAAAATATTTAATATTGTAGCTCGGAGGTTGCTGCAGATTAAATGCACCTCAAAACAGCTAAGGCTTGTATTGCCCTACTCTTCTATTAGCCTTTTTTTGCTCTTACATAAATACTTGAACTTCATATTTATGTAATTCCAGTAGTCTTCATCCCATCCTTTTAGACTGTTGAAGGTTAACACGTTTCTCCTGTTTCATACATCAGGGGAAAAAAAAAGTATTAGATTTTCAATTTAAATGTATTTTTTTATAATCATGATTTACCCCTCTGAAGCTTTTTCATGGGATGTCCTGTAATCTATATAGTGCACCTTAACTGAATGAGGCAAACTTAGGCTGTAAAAGAAATCGAGAAACTAGACATTGCTGTCATTTTTTATATTCATTTTTAGGAATTGTTTTGTCTGTCCGTCCATGCCTTTAACAGTGAAAGTAAACATATTTTTCAAGACAATTGCACTAGTGATAGAAAATATTAAAAGCGGTGATCATTGAAATCCAGCATGTTAAAAGGTTTTTATTTCTATGTTTTTGGAAAGGTTTTCTCTTAGGTCCACAAAACCTGAAAGGTTTGGTATCACATTTTCTCTAATACTGTGACCATTTTATTTTGTTTCACGTGAGCACACATTTTCAAAATTCAAATTTGAAATTGAAATGTAGTCCTGTTAAATTGAACTTAATAGCAGTTGACCATTTTTATATGATGTTTTTTTTAATTAACATTTTTCTTTCACAAATGTCAATGACAAACAGTAAAGCCTTCACACCATGCTGCTAATACCACTAATTGATGGATCAAATACAGAAAGAGGAATTTTTCTACGCTTTATCTGTTCTTGTGGATTTGTGCAGGAAAGCTAGTTTAGAATTGCCCTTCCTCAGTTTTCGTGATCTTCACCAGTATCATTTATCAAGAATGTAAAACCAACTTATTTTTTCCTTTACTACTTTAAAGGTATTTCTTTAAACCATTTCTTTGAGATTGAGGTTTAAAGTTTGAAAGATACTTCCAAATAGGCATCCTGTATAATGTTATTTACTTGTCTTTTGATTCTTTGTAGAACTGTATATTCTCTGATGTCTGATGTCTTTGGAACATGGCACTGCTGGTATGCTTGGCCATGTGACTGATCCAGCATTTTACAGCTCAGCAGTTACAGTATTTCACTTCTTTCTATTTCAATGCCAAACTGACTGGAGGAGCTGAATAACCATTTATGTGGACTATGTTGCTCCCGGTTTCGAAAGTATTCTCTGTTACAGTAAATAGATGGAGCTACTGTATGCAGTAAATTAATCATTTCTTTATGCAACTATAAAGTAAAGGAATGCATGAGAGATTAATGGGAAAAAGAACATTGCACAAATTATAAAAGATAAAACTGCAGGTGTACGTGAACTGCAGTTCAGCTTGCACATCAGGTTCATAAATATTAGAAAAATGGTATATTGTATTGAAAGTGTTTAATTTAATCTAAACACTTGAAACAAATCTGAGCCGCTTATACTTGCAGATAAAAATGCCCTATTTTCTCCCCACACTACAACAACATAAGGAAGGTTACGAAAAAGAGGAAGCCTTTAAATTAATCTAGCTTGATTAATTGTAGTTAAGTGAATTGAGGCAGTTGTTTCTATAGATAATTTCAGATTCTTCAGTGATTAGAATATTTTGCTTTATAGATGTTGATCTTGGATCCCAAGCAGAATTATAATTTCACACCAGATACACTGAAGTGGCAGTACCTTAGTTCTCTGTTCACTTGTGCTCTTTAGATTCCTGTTCTCATACTACTTACTGATAAAACAGTAAGAAGTGATTGTTTAATGGCTGTTATCTTTACAGCGCAAATTGTAAAGGTTCCAGAGGCAGCTAATGTTTAGATGAAATACTACAAAATATCCAGTCCGATTAATCATTTCTTTTGTACAGTCCAATGACATGGTGTGATGTGTTGCTTCTGTCAATGCAAGAATATCACTGTCCATGATGGGGGAGGGGGATGATTTGTAAAAAATCCAGAATAGAAAGGGGATGATTTTAACTGAACCTTTGACATCAGCTAGTGCAGTTAAGAATGTCTTCAAATTCATCGGAAACATGCTCAGGTCACCGTGACATGTTGCTCTGAGGATGGTATGCCCCCGTCTGTTCGTTTTCAGTGTAATCAAATTGTGCCTCTACTCATGTTGTTAATGTTGAAAGATACCTCAGATAATTTTTGTCTCAAAATATTTGCGTAATGTTGTAAGTCTGTTTTAAAAAAAAATACAATATATGGTGTGATGTTGGAGCTGTACATGCAGTCTGTAGTCTATATGGTTTTATTTTTGCATGCACACTGCCTTTTAAAACCTGGGGTGAACCAAAAAATATTGGAATGACTAAATTGCACTAGATCATAGATAAACAGAACAAGACCAGGTAATTGAATTGAGTATATAGAGAAACAGCTGTTCTTGTTCCCATTTTTTTTTCTTCCTTCACTTTAAAAGTCTTTCCAATTAATGTGATTTAAAGTGAACAAAAAATGAATTGAACACAGCTATGTTCAAAGGCCCTTCTTTGCTCACCTAGTTATAGGTCAGATAATCAAAAGGGGGAGGAATCTTTAATATTTGGTATTGTATTTGAAACTTGATGACTCGCATTATGGTAGATGGTGTAAAGGAAATTAAAACACCGGATGACCTGAAAGTCTATTGACTACTATTGCAAAGACATTTTTAAAAATTGATGAAGGTCTCAGACTTTGGCAGATTAATTAGCAATTCTGCATTTCTTTCCCCAAAAAAACACTGAATTGCTTTTTTCATTCTCTTAAAATATGAAGTGGTATTGTGATTCATAGGTTAAAACCTGTTTCTGTTCTTAAAATTGCAAGATTAAATTTGTGGAATGCACAAATGAAACATTTATTAAAAGGGAACATTACAGGTCTTACATTTTAAAAACATAAATTGCAGTTGATTTTTGCACATTACTTTTTTTCAGCAAACATTTAGTTTTTTCTAGTGATTTTTGATTTTTGAGGAGCCCAAAAACGTTTTTCTTTCACAACCTGAAGTTATTTTGTGACTGCCAGGTACTTTACCAGAGGTATTCAGCAAAATCAACAGTGTTGTTCTAAACAAAGACACTATTAAAAGATTGATACATGCTGAATGGTCAAAAGAATCATCATTTCCAAATCACTTGCTGAAATTGCAAATCTATTGTTCACAGTTCACCTGAACAGCAGCAAGGCTGAGTTCTTCAGGTTTGTTCTACTGTGCACTATGAAATTATTTCATTCTGAAGGTCACCTGTCAGAGGAGGTTTGAAAAATGTTAACATCTTTGGTTTTATTATTTTGGTATGAGGTACATAGAAAGTACTGTATTTCATAACATCCACCCATACATTTTCTACCTTTTTCTTCAAATTCAGGGTCATGGAGCCTATCCAGGCAAGAAACGGGCACAAGGCAGGATACGCTTTGGACAGGACACCAGTCTATCTCGGGGCAGAGACACAGACACGCACACACCCGTAGGGCCTATTTTCCCAAAAGCTGATTAGCCTACCAGCGTATTATAGGATTATGGGAGAACAATGAAACTTCCAGAAAAAACCCATGCAAACACTGGAAGAACATACAAACTCCATACTGATAGCACCCCGGGGCTGGGTGGCAGCAATGCAAAAAACGGTGCTTCTGTGATTCCCTAATTTCATTATCCAATGTGATAGGTGAACATCAAAGCTATAGCTCTTAGCCATGTTTTTCCCAAGATGTTAAGATGATAACTTTGGTATTTTAAAACGTGAATAAATATTAAATTACCCAGTCCTTAGTTCACAGCTTAATGTTTAAAACTGCTGATGGCAGAGCAGTTTCTCTCATTTTAGAACTTTATTTTTAAATCCAATTATTTTCACCAAGTGTCCCAGACTGTACCCATTTGATCTGACAGTTATACAGTACATACATGGAAATGTTATGAAAACTACATTACATAGCATGTCAGGATTATAAAGCAGTCACACTATATAAGTAAATGTCTTTTAGTACTTAGGAGGTTTTTCTGTTTACTATTGAAATATAGAAATATCGCAGGTAAAACCAGACTGTCTCAGTTATTCAAGCAGTGTATACAAGAGATTGCATTGTGCTAAACAGCCAAAGGAATGCCCTTATGAATCCATTTTATTTAGGACACTTTGTCGGTATCATTTGGCACCAGTTATACTTGAAGACCTACTGTGAGTTATTTGTTTCTCTGTATTGATTCTCTCAAAGATTAGCACAGAATTTGTGAAAATTACAGAAGAAGGGTTTTTTGTAGTTCTGTTCAAGGTTCCTCAATAAGGAACAGTTAAAAATAGGATGAGAGTATTTAGTTTTTTAAACTGTTACTGATTGATTTGGACAGCAACTTATTTACTTTAGGGGCTCATACTTTTTTGTCTGAAAATTCTTCAGTATTCATTTGTTGGTGTTTTAGTAGCTTGAGTAGTCTGTCCTCTCATATTTTACTGCTTTTTGGATTTGTGGTAGTTCCAAAAATTTTTTCAGACAAAAAATGAATATGGCTTAGCTCTCCAAGGACTACATTTAAGACACATTTTAAGTATAAGAGCTGTTTTTGTTTTGCATAAATCAACTGTTATTGTCTGATACATTTGTATTTCTACAGCAATGCTAGTGACTGATGTGAAAATCTCAACATCACCCCCTCACCACTATCCTCATCAAATAAATGTAAATAAGAATAATATAATTCTTTTAAGAACCATGTTCTGTAAGATGTAGCATGCCATTTTGTGTTTTCCTTGCCTAATTAAATGGATGGAGATCAAGTGATAGTGGGATCAAGCCATTAATAACCTTGTTGCAATCCTTGCAAGAGCTTTCAGAATATTAATGACTAGATCAAGAGATCTTATCACCATGGGGAACTCAAATATTCACATTCTTCCAAAGAATTACTTTGGTTATTTTATTAACGTGGCTTTTCAACAGCTGTGCCTTTGCTATATATATTTTTAGTCTGTGTCATCGAGCAAGAGACCAGCATCTGAAATGCAATGAGCAGGAAATTACTTTTTATCTTGACTTGCTTACTAAGATGTTAGGGTTGTGCTGCTGTTATATCTGATAGGCATGCCATTGTATTCTACTGAGGAATCTAACAGCATATCTCTTTAAAAAGGTGTTTGACTGAGGTGTACAGGTATAGAAAATTCACATAATCCTTACTGGTCAAACTCCCATTATTCAAGGTAAAAATTCAGAGATACAAACAAAGCAGAGAATGCCTCAACAACAGCACAATAAAGATTTGTAGGCAGGTTATTAAAGACCAGATCATATGTTGCAAATGGTTTAATAGTTTTTTGTGAGACAGAGGGAGGGGGTGGGAGAAACTTAAAAAACCATTAAGCTATGACCAAGGCACTGGAAAGCCCAGATAAAGCTCTGTGAATATTGTCCTTGTTTGGTGCTGAAGTCTTTGACACAGTGGTGTACAATGTGCAGCCCTGGCAACCCAATGTTTTCTGTGTGCTTGTATTAGTTGTAAATAAAATGTATAGCAGGTTTTTATGAATCAAAAAGGACTCTGAATTTTCTTATAAAATGGTAATGTCAGAAACAAGTACCTATGTATGTGGTGAGTCAATAATAAAAATGTAATTGTCTTTTAATAATATTTTTGAGCATTTTTTTGTATTCCACCACAGACTTGAGTTCAGAATACAAAAGCCTGTTACACCCTTTTGCTTTGCTTGCACACCTCATAGCTTTCAGTTTCAGCTGATACTGTGTTACGTAAGTGTGCAGCTCTGGATGTCATGTTTCATGTTTTTTATTTCACCTGACCCACAAAGTGAGCAAAGATCTTGCATAACTGTACCAATTCAACACTATTGTCAAGCTCTTTATGACCTGGTGGAAACAATGACACCTGGTGGACTGCAGTCACCACTCCATTGCAGGGCACACACAGACACAAAGACACTCTCACTAGGGCCAAGTTTACAAAAGCAAATTAACCTGCCAGTATGTGTTTGGACTATGGGAGGACACTGGACAACCTGGAGGAAACCAGGTGAACACGAGGAGATCATACAAACACCACACAGATAGAACCCAAACTCCAGACTTAAAACCAGGGCCCTACCATGCCATCATGCCACTCGGTCATGTGATAGAAAACCCACAGCTTTATTTAACTGAAAAGTGCCTAGTTCAAGGAGAACTAGTTTCTGATGTATGAATACCACAGTGGTGAGAATAAAATGGCTACTGATTATACACACTTAAGTTCCAATCAGAACCTTCATTTTCTTCCATGAGGAAAAGCAAAGTGTTTTAAAGCGAAGTCTGAGAAGAAATATAACCCTGTATGTATGATGTTTCTTGATAGATAATTTATCCATTATCTGTAAGATATGTTCTATGATGAGCTGTTGCGAACCTTGATTGGATAAAGTCTGGTTTCTCATGAACTGTCATATCTATTACTGACGTACCTGTTTCAATGTGGTTATTATTTCAGACCACACAGAAAAAACGTTTGTATAGTCACTCATTTTAAATACTGTCATTTGCAATTGTGTATCAGTTGTTTCTTCCTTCCTTTGCAATTTTTGTTTGACCATTATACACTTGGATATGGTACTTTAAATGATTATGACTAATTTGGAGTCATCTGGGTAGGGGTTAGATTTGAACAACACCTAGACATTTTATTTGCTGTGCTTAAGGGTATATCTGAAATGCAGGAAAAAATGTTATTTTGTTGTTTACCTCAAAAACTATTTTTGGCCCAATATTGCAGTTTTTGCTGAACAAGATTTGTCATCCAAAATGGTCAAAAATTAAAAGTTTGAAAATTTATTTTGTCTACATGCCTACAGTACATGCAAAACACTCTCAGTTTTTGCATTAAAACCAAACAAAATTATAAGATTAACCAACCTTTAGTGAATATTGTAAGCCTGGCCTGTAAACAGCACAAAGCATGCCACTTAACCACACTGTTTCCAAAACAAAGAAATACTGGAAAACTGAAACTATCACAGTAAAAACATTTAAAACATTTAATTCCTACTGTACATCCTAAGTGCTACTTGAAAATTTTCTGACAAGTTTGGAGTCATTTAGTTAAAATTCTTAACACTGGTGTTTAAGGCAATGTTTTTTATATATTGTATGTTCTAGAAGGGCCCAAGCTAGGGTTAGGGTTTGAACAACACATATGTAGAGTATTTGTATCCCAAAACTGACTCGGTCGGATCAAAAGTTGTAACCAA